ACATCTGCCGCAAAAGTTTCATCTTGTTGATTCCTGTCCCCTGTTAAAGGTTGACTTGAATGAGTTGATCTTGCACTTTTAGTCTCACTAGTAGACATTTTGTAGGACTTTTTTTTACTTATTATTTAATCTTTGTTAAAGTTTTTAATTTATATATATATATTTATATATTTTTTATTACTATTTATTACTATATAAACGCACTATTTTTAGTGGGTACACTAAATTGAGAACTTTTAAGTGGTTTCTCTGATGGAATAAAGAGGATTTTGGTTCAATTCCTGTCAGAGGCACAATCTTTCTTTGGTAGGACTTCTCAGGTTAAACCAGTTGTTATTAATTTTACTTTTTAATAAAATTAAAAAGGGATAGCAACTCAAACACATGTAGCCATTAAAAATAATCTTTATAGTAATAAGATATAATGTTTGATAAAAAATCCTTTCAAAAATTAATATATATATATATATATATATATATATATATATATATATATATATTCAATCTATTTTTACATTTAATCCAATTTATATATATACATATATATATATATATATATATATATATATATAAAAAATAAAGGGACTGTTCTACTATCCTAACAATAGATTATAAATATTAATATTTAAATTTTACAATGCTCAATTTTCAATACATGCCTGAAATTCAGAGTCGTACCAATTGGTGAGGAACAAAAAGGTTTTTATGATTAGTATAAATTTTAGCTCTATTATTTTATATCGAGCACTGTTTTATTACCACCATCACTCAATGTTTGCTATTTTATATTTAAAATCAATTAAAAGGATTTAAAATTAAGGATATGACAATTATATTGATACTATTCCTGCAAATTTAAATTACATGAATCAAAATAATTACAGCATGAGTAGAAGCCCAACTTGTTGAAAAACATTAGTTTGTGTCTCTTATTAAAGTTTTATGCATAAAATAATGCTGTACACTGACTTTTTGTACCTTAAAAAATATCTTTGTCTGATTGGAATCTGTTTCTTTATATGCAATCCTGGGACAATTCGTGAAAACCTTGAGTAAAGCCAACAAGTAATTTAAGAGAAATCAAGGATTACTTTTTTTATCAAAATTAAGGAGCTTGGTTTTTCACAAGGGATCAGCATTTGTTTGAATATGCGAGTTAAGTTATTCCACATTTCTTTTCTTCATTTCTCATTTGCGTCAAATGTGTAACGAATCCAGTTACTTTAGCATTTATGGTTCCTGTAAATAAGAGAGCTGAAAATAATTTCTGCTTCTTTGCTGAGAAACAGCAACTACATTAATTTTTGTGTCTTTCTCAGCCTCTTTTCTCTCTATGGATTTATACCTCTCTGTTTATAACTCTCTTATGGATCCTTACTTTCTCTTTCTTTTTCTCACTATCTCTCTTTATTCATTCTCTTCTTTTTCTCATTAGTTCCCCCTCTCTATACAATTTCTTAACATCTCTTTTATCATTATTTTCTCTCTTTCAAAATCACTTTCTTTCTGTCTGTCTGTCCGTCTCTCTCTTTCTCTCTCCCTCTCTCTCTAACTTCTTTTTGTTTTGCCTTTGTCAGTCTATTTCCCTTTTCTCAAACTCTAACTCCCTTTTTAATCTTCTTCCTTTCCTTTTCCAATCATTCCTACTCCTACTCTCATTTCCCTTTGTCTCCTTCTCATTTACATATCGTTTCTTCATCCGGTCCGTTTATCTCCCTCCTCCTTGGTCGTCCCATCCCTCATCTTCCATAATACATGAGGAGTTTGCAAGCAGTTTTGACAACTCTGTAGCAACCAGCTGCCTAACACAATCCTGACACATTAATTATTAACAACTTTATTAAATAAGAAAGATTTCCCCAGAACTTGTCCTCTTTTTCACTATCAACATTACTCTTGCTTCCTTGCCACTTTTGGATCTACTTTTCTTAATTGCCTTTTTTCAACAGATTCATATCAGGTGGCACAACACCCATCATCTTGCAATCTGACACTCCAATCACAGTTGGAGGAAAAAAAGAGAAAAAAATAGCAGGACACAATCATGATAACTATATATATATATATATATATATATATATATATATATATATATATATATATATATATATTGTGTTGGTGCAAAAATAATGTTGTTTTTTGACGTTAAGTTGAACGTCAAAAACAACATTATATTTTTGCACCAACCTAATATATATATGAGATGTAAGATTTAAGAAACAGCAGATATTTTTATATATAGTGCTCAATATTAAAAATATTAAAATAATATTAAAAATAGAGCGTTAATAATATTTTATCAAAAGATTACTTAACTTTTAAAATAAAATTGATAAAATTGATATTTAAATGTTAGGTTATCTTTTCATATAATATTATATATATATATATAATATTATATGAAAAGATTATATATATATATATATATATAATTAACTAATGTAAGATATTATCTATATTTATTAATATATATATATATATATTTTATAGTAAAAAATGGAAAGAACAGTAAGATATATAATCCAGTGTTCTTATTGATATGTTTTTTTGTTTTTTTTTACAAAACAGTGATCAGTGTAAATTTACAGAGCATAAATATTATAAATTAACTGATTTAAAAATATGGTTCCTTCGCTACACAGGAATTACCATGTTTCAAAAACAGAAACTAACAACTTCAAATTCAATTATTTAATTAAATTAAAAGTGCTAGTTTTGTTTCATTTTCAAGCGAATTTTGGAATAACTTATTTTGAAATTTACTGAGTTTTAAAAGCACATACATTCATAATATTTGTTTTCAAGGATACAGAGAAATCCACTCATTTAGACAGGGGCATTAATTAATGTAAGATATTATCTATATTTCTTAATATATACAGTGGGGAGAAACAAATATTTGTACACATACAAATTTTTAATTTACTGTATTTTCAACTAAGGAATAAACATGCTTTTTATATAATTAACTGTACACAGATGCATAACTAAATATGCATAAAAAACAGAAAAAAATTTGATTTAATAGAAATAAATCTTATTTATACATTTTAATGGGTGAAAAAAGTATTCATGCAATACAAAAAAAAAAATACATAATCTTCATTTAATACTTTGTATAATAGCCATTATTCACTTCTACAGCAACCAACCTCTTCTTGTAGTTCTCAATAATTGATTTGCAAATTTTAGTTCGAATTTTGTTTTATTCTTTTTCACATATGGTCTTCAGATCTGAGATGTTTGTTGGAGCCCTCGATTGGATTTGAATTTTCAAATAACACCACAGATTCTTGATTGGGTTTAAATCTGGGGACTGACTTGGCAATTTCAGGATATTTACATTATTTTCAGCAAGTCATTTCTTCATAGATTTTGCAGTGTGCTTAGGATCATTATCTTGTTGGGAGATCCAATCAGGAGGAAATTCAAGTTTTTCAACCAAAATCATTAAATTTGCTTCCAAAATATTTTGATATGCTGTGGCATTCATTCTACCATCTATTACTGATATATTGCCCATACCTTTTGCAGAAAAACATCCCCAAACTATGATGCTGCCCCCACCAAATTTCACTGTTAGAACTGTGTTCTTTTGTTTGACGGCATCGCCATCTTTCCTTCATATATGATTTCAAGAATTACATCCAAACGACTCAATTTTGGTTTTGTCTGTCCATAATACTTTTTCCCCAATACAATTTTTCCTTATCGTGATGTGCAGGAATGAATTTCAACTTGGTATCTCTGTGAGATGGAGTTTTCCAAGGGGAGCGTGACTTTAGATTGTTCCTACCAATTTTATTGCTTATTGCCAATTTAATGATACAGATTCCTGATGTAAGCAAATTCTCTTGCAACACTTAACGAGTAACCATTGGATTTTGTTTAATTTGACTTATCATTTTCCTAATATCTTGAAGAAATCTTCCGTGGAACACCTGTTCTTTGGTTTTCAACAGTTTTGAGTTTTTTTATACCTTTCGATGAATGAACTAATGGTAGTAAATGAAACATTCAGGTTATCTGAGATTTTCCTGTAACTTTTACCTTCTTTCCAGAACCTAATAATTAGTTTTTTTTTGTGAATTTCTCAATTCTTTACCTCTTGCCATATTGATAACCTTCTTGCATGACTATCAATTATGAAATGTTCTGTTTGTATTTTTTAGGCTAAATATAACTACTGATAACATAACTGAAAAATTCTAGAATATTCTACTTGAATAATCTAGAGTATTAGAGCAATTTAAAAGTTTTAAAATCTGAAATTAGCATTGTACGAATATTTTTTTCATACATTAAAATGGATAAATGGGATTTATTTCTATTAAATCAAAATTATTTCTGTTTTCTATGCATATTTAGTTATTATGTTGTGTTAATTATATGAAAAGTATGATTATTCATTAGTTGGAAATACGATAAATTAAAAATTTGTATGTGTACAAATATTTGGTTTCTCCCACTGCATATATATATGTATATATATATATATATATTACATTAATTAATATATATATATATATTAAGAAATATAGATAATATTTACATTAATTAATTAATTATATTAATTAATTAATCTTATATGTTTTTCTTACACTATAGAGTATTTATATGTATTTGTATATGATCACTCACTTGTATGTCTATGTATATTTACCCATTCTGTTATATATATATATATATATATATATATATATATATATATATATATATACTGCAGTTAAACTTTTTTCATGTGTTTGTACAAGATTTTTTTTCTTTTCTGGACACAAAGTGTGTAAAAACTACAAAAGTTCTGCATATATTTTGGACAGTTTTTACATACTTTGTTTCCATAAAAGAAAAAAAACTTGTACGAACACTGGAGGGAAGGGTCCGTCTACAAAACTTGAATTACTAAGTCATTATTATCTCAAAAAATTCTTAAAAACTAAAAATATTTTCTGGCCATAAATAATCTGCAAAGTGTTAAGTGATAAGCCATAGAAAATGAATCAATCAACTACGCTAAGCACAAATTCCTGATAGATATGAAGAGACTGAGATAGATAGATAGATAGATAGATAGATAGATAGATAGATAGATAGATAGATAGATAGATATGAGCCTTGGAATATTCTACCTGATAAATTTGGATATGTGTGTACCCATGCATGTATATATATTCATTGAAATTTTATTAAAAAGTAATGAAGAAAAATTTAATTCAGTTTATTTTTTTTTAAATGTCACTTCCAACATGAAATTTCTAAAGTTTTATATAAGTATAGTAGTATTATGACTTTCTGGAGCCTCCTAGAACTAGTTTTGATGTAGCCTCTGTCAGTCTGTTTGTTTGTTATCAAACTCCAAGGCTTTTGGAGATAAACCTCCATAAACATATATATTCTGAAACTACATTACCCAGAGTACTTGGATAAGTATATTTGATTTTGATGAAAGGGAGTTCCCAGGGGGCACAAACACTCCATTAAATTTTTTTTTCCCCATTGATATAAATTAAATTTAAATTTGAACAAGGGAATGACTCCAATCCAAAATATAGGAGAAAGCCAGAAGATGGAGGTCTCGTAGGCAAGATCATTGAGTAATTTTGAATTGCATCATTTTTCTTCACAAATTATAAAAATGATTTAAAATCAATCATCATTTTCTTACAAAAATAACTCCTATTGGAGTATATTATAATGACATACCAAGACAACATACTCAATACCAAAATAGCAGAGCATTATATTTTATATAAAAAAAAGTCAGGTGCTTATCTGACCAGCCATAGCTATCATTTTCTTACGCACTGTTGCTTGCAGCTATCAAACAACAACCTAATGATTGTGTGCAACAGAGCATAAGAAATTGGCATCTATGGCTGGTCAGATGAGCACCTGACTTTATTATATATATATATATATATATATATATATATATATATATATAAAAGGCATATACATGCTCCAAGTTAGCGGGAAGGCCAAGATCAACTTTGCATTTCACAACTCCCATCGATAATGGAAATAATCGATTTTTTCATTCTGCTATGGCAATTTTCATGTAGTTTGTGGCCATTTTCTACTGGCCAGAGTGAGAGCCTATAGCTGGCTGCCACAAATAGGCAGGAAGATTCTATTGGCCAGCATGAGAGCCAACAGCTGACTGACACGAATGTTAACTAGCATGCAAAAAAATCGATAGCTGCATTCGTCACAAGTGGGAAAAATTTAAATCTGCATGGCACTTTACTCCAATTGTCTCATTCGCTTGCTTAAAGTCAACATTGATTCTGATCCTGCAGAACTGGGTTGAGTGTGAAAAAGTATTTGTTGTTAACATTCTTTTTTCATTTCTTTTTTCCAGTTACGAGTCCTTTTTTAAAGCTGATTGTTTTGTGTTCATTTTGTTTAGTTCTTTTTTCGTAACAGATTTAATGTTTATTATAGAGCTTCGAAAAAATTCACAATGTGAGATAGGCAAGAAGTAAGGCATGTAGCAACATCAGCACAGCAAAGGGCACTCCTTTAAAGGCAAGGAAGGGCAAAAATATTTTAAGTCAAGTGATAGTGATTGCTGTATGTATTGCTGGGGGCCTGAGAAACCTTTTTACACCATGTGGAAGTATTTGAAATGATCTGCCAGTCAATGATCTGATGGGTGCATACATGTGTAGAGGCAAGCGGAGACCATTATGAACATTTGTTATGAGTTGCTGTGGTGAGGTACAATAATGGACATTTGGACATGTTTATACTAGCTTAAAAGCCACTCTATAGGGCAGCATTTAAGTTAGCTCTTGTGGAGGGCTTTTCATTACAATAGGTCGGAATGAGTAGATGTGATAAGCAACAATAAACTCCAGAACTCAAAATTGATTGCTGCATCTAAGTATTGCATTAATATTTAACTTTACCTTTTAAAAGCTCAACAATAATTCTTCTGCTGTGACTTAATGTAAAGACAATTTAATGTGTGTAGGTTCTTACTTTCCATACAAACAATTATTGTTATTTCAAGGGTCTTGAAGATTGAGAGCTGCTTTTTTTAGAGCTCTCATGAAATAAAAATTATAACCTGTTGGATTTTAAGTGTTTGATATTCTTTAATTAATAATAATTTTGCTCTGTCTTTTGACATAGACCTCTCCCTGGATCTATATCCTCCTGGAAATTCCATATGGATTACCATATTGTATCATTACTATATATATATGTATATATATATATATATATATATATATATACACGCACACACACACATGCATCTACCTCCTATCTTAACTTCTATTTGTTTATGGTGTGTATATGTCACCATGAAATGTATCTTTATGCATTAGACATCCGTTGACTTTCTTTCTCTCCTCTTTTTAAATTCCCCCCACCACATCTCCTAAAATTCTCTCTGTTAAGGTTTTATCTCCTCCTCCTCATACTTACACTTTCTCTAAATTCTGTTTTGATTTCGGAGTTGTTTTTTCTGTTTTCATTTTGAATTTGTAGGTCTGATGATTTGGATCATATTTACGATTCCAATGGAATAAATTATGACCATGGAATATTAGTGTTTAAGCCTTTTTTATTATATATATATATATATATATATATATATATATATATATATATAATACAAATAAAAAGTTTGTCACTTAGCTGATTGATGTTACATTTAGCATCTCAATTCTAGAGTTTTGTAGACTGATGCTCCAGGAATCACTCCGTCCACTCATCAGGGGCTATCAGCAATTAATTGCTTAGACTTCTTTTTTATATGCACTTTTCATTGGTGCAAGGATTATTTTTCTTATTATATGTATACATGCATGTGTCTCTGTGTGCGTATGTGCGTTCACACACCTGTCTGAGTGCATGTGCAGATTGTTGTTCTTATTTGTCCTTTTCATTGAGTTTTTTTTTCCACTTTATACTCACTCCTTATGCTTTTCTCTGTTTTTCCTCTTTTCATATATATTTGCATTGCACATTTATAAAAGCCATCATATATAGTTGACAAGTAATTGCCAATAAAGACAGTAATTGCAGGAACACTAAGATCATGTTTCAGGCTGGAAGGTTTTAGAGCCAACTTCATGATTTGTGACATGACGGACAGCCTAGTTATTTAAATAGAATTGGTATAACTACTCTTCTTCTTCTATGTGCTGTATCCATTCAGGACACAGGCGATCATAGCTCTCCACAACTTCCTGCCTTATGCAGCTCTTAGTAAAGTTTTTCTTTTTGCTATCTCTCCTAATCCCTGTTCAGCCAACCATTTACACAAGCTCGTTTTCTCTTGTTCTCTGTGCCATGTCCCTTTAAGATGTACATGATCAAGGCTCTCCACGACTTCCTCTCCTTTGTAGCTCTTAGTAAAGTTTGTCTTTTTCCTATCTCTCCTAATTCCTGTCCTGCCAACCATTTACACAAGCTCGTTTTCTCTTGTTCTCTGTGCCGTGTCCCTTTAAGATGTACATGATCAAGGCTCTCCACGACTTCCTCTCCTTTGTAGCTCTTAGTAAAGTTTTTCTTTTTGCTATCTCTCCTAATCCCTGTTCAGCCAACCATTTACACAAGCTCATTTTCACTTCTTCTCCTTGATGTACATATCCTTCAGGATGTGTGTTGATCAAAAAGTTTTCCACAACTCTCCTAATCCCTGTTCAGCCAACCATTTATAGCTCATTTTCAGTAAATTTTGTCCCTTTGATCAAAGCTCTCTCTTCCTTTATCCCTGTTGTCTTTTGACCCAACCATTTAACCATTTACAATCTTGTTTTCACTTCTCCTCCTTGCCATATCCCTTCAGGATGTGTGTGATCAAAGCTCTCCACAACTTCCTCTACTTTGTCGCTCTTAGTAAAGTTTGTCTTTTTGCTATCTTTCCTAATCCCTGTTCTCCCAATCATTTACATAAGCTCATTTTCACTTCTTCTACCATGCCATGTCTCTTAAAGATGTATGTGATCAAGGCTCTCCACAACTTCCTCTCCTTTGTAGCTCTTAGTAAAGTTTGTCTTTTTGCCATCTTTCATAATCCCTGTTCTGTCAATCATTTACATAAGCTCAATTTTACTTCTTCTCTATGACGTATCTCTTAAGGATTTGCTTGATCAAGACTCTCCACAACTACCTTTCCCTTGTAGCTCTTAGTAAAGTTTGTCTTCTCCATGCCATATCCCTTCAGAATGTGCATGATCAAAGCTCTCCACAGCTTTCTCTCCTTTGTACCTCTAAGTAAGCCTATCATTTTGCTATCTCTACTAATACCTGTTCTGCCAACCATTTACACAAACTTATCAGGTAGGTTACTCATTGCTTTCCTCTGTCACACTTGCCCTCAATGTGTCCTGTAAGTGTCAAATTCTCCAAGTCCTCCTTCCTAATTGTGCCCTAGAAATTTCAACTGTCTCTAATTCAAACTATAATTGTTGCATTTTCCCTAAAACTTCATTGTTGCTCACATATTCAGTCCATGGTATTCTCAGCATCCTTCTGTAGAACTAGATTTGTTTCTTTAAGTCTCATCTGTGAAGAGATCGTCCAACATTCACTGCCATATAAGAGGACCGATATTTCATAACAGTTCAGTACTTTTTTTCTTTGTTTCTAACAAAATCTTCCTGTTAGAAAGATTAATGCACTAGTCACTAACCATAATGAGTTTGACCATGATTTTGATTTCAAAAATATTACTTTAATTAAAAGAAATAGCAATTTAATAAGCAGAGTACTAAGAAATAGAAAAACTTTGTTAGTGATGTAATTGAATAACCTATCACCCCCTCCCGTGAGTGACTACACTACAGGTAGTAACTACCTATAAGTATCTGTAAATCAACGGACTACAGAGACTAGCTGGAATCTGTTCCAGCAAGACGGTCAAACTCTCTGCCTTCGGGCAGAGAGGAACCCGGACGAGGCTCTGCCGAAGGGCAGAGTTTTGTTCGGGGTGGTTGACCAACCCGATTTTGTTTCTACAGTTTCTATGGGCTTTTTTTGGCTAAGCCTACGAGCTCAGAAAACCCATGTAAAACTCGGCCTTGTGCCACATCTTTTCCTCATGTGGGGGCAAGTAAATATTGACTAGCTGGGATCTGTTGAGTACAACTCAGACTTACACAAGAACTACCGA